TCATGACAGATTCTCTTTAGGTGAAGCCACAGTTCCCCTACAGTATTGCATCCAAATGAGCCCAGTAAGAAAAAGCTCAGCTTCTGTGATTCAATTAGAGCTTTCTCTGCACTGTTACTGCATGAGTTGTACTTTTACCTTGAAGTTGTCCATTGCAAGCGCATAACTTGAGATATCAGCAAATGTTGGACAGACCGCTAATCTGCACTCCATTTGCAAATTAAGAGCATACATTTATTATATTTAGTGTTTTCAACAGTAGTTGACTAGTTCTGTTCTCACGGGGCTAGGAGCAGCAACATTCTGAAATTCCTGACAATCCATAAGGAGTCACTTTTTTAGTAGTTCCTGCTGCCTTTTATGTTACTATAGAGCTCCACAAATTCCTATTTCTAAGGGCTCCGTCACACCAGCAGGCATGAAGTATGGGTGCGTATAACATGCACGTGCTAGTGTGTGTTGTCCATCTGCAATGCGTTGTAGAAGCGGATAGCAGTGTTTAAGCTTTTTCCTCATCCTCCTTTTGAGGGACACAGCTCTGAAGAATCCTGAGACATAGGGTTATAGGCATAGGGTTGAGGCATAGGGTTGCCTTCAGACATAGGGTTGAGGCATAGGGTTGCCTTCAGGAGATGTTTAATAATATTCGGCATGAATCAACTAGCAGTTCTCGATAGTACAATCTCATTGAAGAAACAGAACAAACCAAAATAAATAAGGAGATGAGAATGAGACATTCATTCTCCTGAGGACACTAAGCAAAACTGGCAGGCCTTTCAGTTTTTTGCCTTGTGTCTCCTGAAGGCAGCAGCATGACTCTTCGTCTCAACTCTTCAGAGCTGTGTCCCTCGATGGACACAGAGAAAAGGATTTTACGGTAAGAACAAAATCGTATTATTTTGAAGTTAACAAAAAAACATTTCATTTAACTCCACTTGGCATTGCTGTGTGTTGTAACACATTATTGTGGGTTGTGTAAAAATGCAGAAATGCCACATTTGTATGTAACAAGGCACATTGAGAACAATTGTTTTGTCAGCGTCCTTGCTTTTATCAGTGCAGATGATCGCAGCACAACGCACCTGGTGTGGACGAGTCCTGAGGGAATGGTTAGGCAGAGATTCACAAATCTTAACACAAAATGGCTTCATCCACTGAGAGCAGAGGCACCAGAGGTCCACTTTAGAGGTGAAGCTTTACTACTACTAGAGTTCTCTTCCCTGGTGTACAGGAACATGTGTTGTAAGAGAAAAAAGAATCTGATGTACTTTACATTGGTATAAGAAGATTAGACACAGCATTGCCTTGTAAGAGTACTACATGTATAAGAATATTGTCATGTAAAATGATGACCCTGAATCCATTATCTCTCTGCATTGAGTCGCTGTGCATATACGTATCCATGTGTTATTCATGTTTTAAAGATAGTGTACATCAGAAATTCTGAGATCTATAGGCCTCATTTATGCAGACTGGAGGAAATGGCGTCCCATCACTTAAAGGGTTAGTTCACATTTAGTAGTTAAAAAAAACTGAAAATCTGCAGTGATTACACCTACTAATGAATACAGGTCAACATGTACAAATCCATATTCCCAAAAACATTACTGACCATACACTGCTTGAAGATCGGCCAAGTTGAGCAGTGTGTGGCCCCATTCCCCATCAACTTTTGTCAAAGGAGCCAGGCTGAAGATTCTCAGCTGAACGCTGACACCACCCAATCAGTTGCACTCACTGTTTGGTATTCTGACAGTGGTACACCCCCTGCTGTCAGAGTTCAATAGCACAGTAGGAGAGATTGGGGGGGGGGGGGGGGGGGGGCTTTGCTGTATCTAG